GTAATTTTGAATCCAAAACCCAATACGCCTGATATTTCTAAAGAAGAAACGTATGCCCTAAAACAGTTACGGAAAGACAGAAAAAATTGTTATTATGAAAGCAAACAATGGAAACACCACTGTTAGCATTACACTCGATTGAATCGGGTCATACAGTTGATTTCAATGGCACGAGAATCATTCAAAAAGGATTTAATTCTTACAAAGAACGACGCCCTACATATATGGGCTAATCCAAACAATATTAATAGGAGAGATGGAATACAACTAGCTGTCCCATGGCAACTAATAATTAATAAGTAAACCTGATCTCGTTTTTGCAATTTGATATATCTATGCCATAGTAACTAATTGATAGATAATACGCTCAATGATTTAAATCCGTTATCTTATCTGAATATGTTAAACAATTGACTGGAGCATTAAAAATAACACTGTTGCGGATGCGCAGGAATAGACCAATAATTATCATGCTAAGTCCAATGGTGTCCTTGGACTTTAAATGGACATTTTCTATTGGTCGATATCTGTTCACTTGTGAATATTGTACAAAATGTTGTTTTCTATTTTTATGGTACGATGTGGTTTGTTTGCTTGGTATATAAATAGAGTATGTTTGAAATACAATGATTCATATCTCAGAGGTTGTGACTTGTCTTCTGGACTCAACTAACTGGGCTAGACAGGGAAGCAGAACCAATCAGAACCCTAGGTCGTCCTAAGTGTTTATGCGTCTTTGGTCCGGTCAATAATTCGCTCCCCCTTAATCTGCAGCATTATTTTTCACAGTCATAACAAACACACACTTTCAATTACATATACATTCCTGTTTTATTTTGGTTTACTTATCTTATTTATTTATCTTCCTTTTAATGTATGCTGTGACATTTTTGATTCATTTCATATATAAAAGTGATCTGTTTTCCCTTAATATACACAAAACTGAAGACAATATATAGTTGAATGAAATATCTTCTTCTCACATCACTTACGTATACACACAGTTTGTTATCTAAACATTTTTCATTTCATACCACATATCTCTTACACACTAATGTAAATACATACTTTAACATTGATTGGATAACTTATTCAGTATACCGTAAACCAGAGAATCATATACCTATTTATATTCGATAATTTTGTTGTTTGATTATAATTTCCTTGAAAAAGCTTGAACCAGATTGCCAGGTGAAACGTTGGAATTACTTCAAATTCATTCGCTGACATTTTACAAATACAACATTCTTCCTTTTTAATAACTCACATTAACTCGGCGCCCAAATATTGTGAAACTATTCGTACAAATTTAGACGAAAGTTTTTATTTATAATTCACTATTGTGTTATATTCATTTTAATATTAAAAAAAAATTGAAGAATATTCAAGAGAACAATTATATTCAAGAAGTTCATCATTAGACTCTATGATCATCAGTTAATTCTATTTTCATAATCAAATGGAATCCACATTTCAATCTTCAACTTGCACTTTTATTTCATTTTGTTTATTCCTTATTAGAACAACAAACTCAATGTTACACACACACACACGCTCGCACATGTTCTCACAATTTGTTCAGTGATTATTTTCACTTTGTGACCTTTTCACAAAATTCGCATTTATTATTATTCTATTTACTAAGGTCAATATTCTATCAGAAACAACCTACTGTTCGAGCTAACAAACAAAATTGCAACGGAGGAGGAGGAAATCAGGAAGAAGTACTGGAAGTGGATAGGACACAGATTGAGGAAAGCACCCAACCCAACTGTATCATAAGGCAAGCCCTCACTTGGAATCCTCAAGTGCAAACGAGAAGAGGATGACCAATGCACAGATTACGCCGAGAAACAGAAAAGGCAGTCATAAGAAGAATGAAGAGCGATTGGATAGAAGAAGAAGAAGAAGAAGAGAGGAATGCACAGCACAGAGTGTGTAGGAGGCGGCCTATGCTCCATTAGGGGTAACAGACGTAAGTAAATAAGTAAGTAAGTAAGGTCAATATCTAAATATGATTGAATTAGCACAGAATAAATTTGATTTGATATGATTGCTTTACACTGTATATATTTCTTTGATAATTTTGATTATATTCCTGAAGAAGTCTAGACATGTTTGCTGGACGAAACGTTGGAATGATTGTAAATTTCAATCACTGAGATTATTTCAAATATAATTTTCCTATATAATGACTTGTCTATAGTCGGCGCCCAATTGTTGTCAAACTATTCGTTCTAGTATTGACACCAAAAAATAGTCGGATAATGATGACATGGCGGTGAAAATGATTAGGGGAGTTAATAATTCTTATCATAAACATGATGGAAATTGTTGATTGTAGTAACTTATAGTGTTCATCAATACGTACATAATTCATTGGCTTATAAATCCATATCATCAAAACTGTTACGTATAGTCTGTTATATGCGTACCTGGTTCTACATTGTAACTGACTGATTGGTTGATTGATTGACTGATATATATTTTGGATTATTGACCAGTATGAAATGAGAATGAGAATGAAAAGCACTTTTCAAGTGTTACAAATGTGCAGTCATCTTTCTCTGTTATTTATAACCAATAACACAAATCCTACATATTTGAGCATTAGTTATGAGGGTTCAGAACAAGGTGCCTAGGAATTCTGTTTTTCGAATATTTCATTAATTGCATTTACTCAACCGTGACACTGGTTTGGTATATTCTATTCTATGGAATGTCTTATGGAATCTTTTTTGAAAGATTTTTATATGAATCACATGATTTTCAGTGAAAAGATATGTTTCTCTCCAACGTTATTAATCTAAGCTGTAAAGTTGTATTTGCAGTTTGTTTTATATCTGATTGTTTATAGTATAATAAGGGAGTATTGTGTCATAAAAGAGAGTTATCAAAGGTAATTGAAACTTATATTAGAGTCGCATCGTCTAAGTTCGACAGCTTAACTAAGAATCTTCCAGTGTTATCCCAGACGACAACTTCAGTGCCTAGTTCACCAAAAAATGAGTGTCCCACATATCCGATTAGTGGGACATGAGCTCGTTATTTGGTAGATGATCGAATATAATAACCTATCATTTAACAAATTAATCAAAAATAATTCGATGTTTTTACCAAACCAGTGTCACGGTTGAGTAAATGCGATTAATAAAATATTCGAAAAACAGAATTCCTAGGCACCTTGTTCTGAACCCTCATAAACAAAGATCCAATATGAAGTGATAACTTTACTGAGGTAGTACAGTAGTAATAGTTCTATAGACGTTTATGTGATAGGCAAATGCACGATTCATCAGTAAAGTACAGTCGTTTTCCTCTCATATAATAAACATTTTTCACTTCGTTTGTGCACAAACAATTTAAACGGAGAGTCCTCAAACAAATGTATTGTTACGGATGTTTTAGTTTGTAATTTTTAATCATTGAATAGTTGATTAAATGTAGACCAGGTTGAAGAAACCGGAAGCTCTGGACAGCCGTTTTGTACTAGCATGGAATTTCTCAACAGTTCATCCACGATCCTGCACATGCGACTTCAATCCAAAACCTTCGGTTTCATATGGGCGAACTCTTAACCTCTAGACCAATGAGGCGTGAACTTGTATACTGTTGAAGTTAATTTTCATAAAGAATAGATCAAATAGTGTGATTTTGGATGATTGACTTGTATGAATTCTACTTCCATTTTGTCCAACGTTCCTACTTTATGATTAGTCGTGTTCATTACTGTTTTATAAGAAAGTTTATCTGTTCTTAAAACAACGTTGTCTTAAATGTAAAATGAATACGAACTGATGAAAAATGGATTGTAGGGGAGAGGTTTATAAGGGTTTGTTGAACGCTGTAACTGGACATAGATGTATTTGACTCAACTGATGAAATATTAATCTTAATTCTCTTCTTATACATCGTTTCCTATGCTTGAATATGGTTTATTCTCTAGCATTGTAGGTTGTTGCTGGCCAACAGTTCCGAAGTATTTTACATAGTCAATTGTCAATAAACATGTGTATCTTCTGCATGATGGCTTTCCTAATTCTCCAAGTTTCTGCCACATACAATAGAATTGTCTTGACATTTGTATTGAGAATTCTGACCTAGATGTCGGTTGACAATTGTTTTGAGTTTCAGGTGTCCTTCAGTTGTAAATACACTGCTCTTGCTTTACCGATCAGCGATTTCACATCCATATCAGATCCACCGTGTTCATCAATGATGCTTGACAAATATGTAATGGTTTCTGCATCTTCCGAAGCTTCTCCATCAAGTGTAATTCGATCGGTTCATGCTATGTTGTGTAGGAGAATCTTGCTTTTGCCTTTGTGTTTGTTGAGACCTACTGCTGCTGAGGTTGTTGCTACACTGGTCTTCTTCTCTCGCACTTGTTATTGCGTGTGCGATAGAAGAGCCAGATCATCTGCGAAGTGTAGATCGTCCAACAGCATCCTAGATGTCCACTGTATCCCCTACTTCCCTTCAGATGTTGACGTCATCATGATCCAATCGACCACCAGGAGAAAGAGGAACGGTGAGAGTAAGCAACCTTGCCTGACACTGGTCTTCACCTCGAACGAGTTTGTCAACTGTCCTCCATGCAGGATTTTGCAGTTTGATCCATCATAGCAATTCCGTATAATGTTGGCTATGTTCTCAGACAGGCCGTAGTGTGAAAGAAGCTTCCATAGTATTGTCCTGTCCACGCTATCAAATGCTTTCTCGTAGTCAATGAAGTCGATGTTGAATGATGAATTCAATTCAATTGATTGCTGCACAATGATCTGTAGAGTTGCGATTTGATCTATACACGATCGATCCTTACGGAATCCAGCTTGCTGGTCTCGAATTTGGGCGTCTACGCAGTCCTTCATCCTGTTTAACAATATCCTGTGGAAGACTTTTCCCGGTATTCAGAGAAGAGTGATGCCCCTGTAGTTATCACACCTACTGAGATCGCCTTTCTTCGGTATTTTGATCAGAAGTCCTTCTTGCCAATCTGTTTGTTCTTCATCCCAAATCGTATTGAAGAGAATGTGTAGTATCTTTGCAGTTACCGCTACGTCTGCTTTTACTGCCTCTGCTGGAATGTTGTATGTTCCTGCTGCTTTGCGCTCTTGATTTGTCTGATGGCCATGCTGATCTCTCCAAGTGTTGGTGGGCCAACATCGAATGGGTGGTCGGTTGTATACACGTGGCCGTGTGAGAGCATTTTGAGTAGGATAGAGGAGTCTCCCTACTCTCGTCCGTACCAGGGTATTCGTGGGCATAAATATCTATTTTATGAGATGGTGGAGACTTGTATCTGAGGTGGATGATTTTGACAGAGTTTTGTTCTCTGACTTCATGTAGTTTGTGCTGCTGCTGATGTCGTTCAGAAGAATGATGAAAGCTGCACGACCAAAGCATCCCACTGACAGAATAAAACTCCATTAAAATATTTATTTTATAAACACCTTACATTAGATTGACATGCAGAAAGAAATCACCATAATACGATGAAAACAAATCATGTGGGATTGTGAATAATCGAATTTTCCGGCACAATTAAAAACAATACAATATTCAATCAAACTTATCAATCATCGAAATTCTCAATCATATAAGTGTACTACTGTATGTTCATTACTCTCAATATTACATATCATAAATGATGGACAATTTGTTCTATTGAGAGTACACATGACTTGAGTAAATGTCCGTATTGTGTTGAAATGACAGATTATTGCTGGTAGATTCGGTTGGTTTATTGGTTGTTTGGTTGGTTGGTTAACTAAACGATATTGTCGACATATACTACATAAAATTCGGAATGATTTATCAGATTATTATTTGATTGGCTAAAACCATATACACTCAACTACACCCACAGTCTATAAATATACGAGAATTATGAGTTCTAATATTCAATTTCACACACTGTCACTATGAATTTTATTCAAACAGGAAAATCTCTTATGATCAAATTGATTATCATCTGTACCTTGATAAGTTTTATTCACTTTCAGATGGTAGAATTAGCTCAAATTAGACCAAAACGTGAGTTGACTTATCTGAGTGTTTGTTTAAAATTTATATTAAATCTCTATTCCCCTTGTTCCAAATCAACTCAATGTTACTTTCTTGTTTCATTTCAGATTCATTTGTAAGGATTGGATAATTGTAATCTCTTGTATTCATACCGGTTATATCATCACATGAAACATGAAACTATTCTCTTTTGAAATGGTTATATAGTTACTGTGATATTATGAATAAATATTCATTCATGTAGATGTTACCACTTTCTTCTTTGACTTTTTCAATCTCTTTCCACATTTATGTTGCCAGGTGAAAATATCAATTTGATTTGATGAAAATCAGAATATTTTCGGGCAAATATTTTCCTACTTAATTGATAATAAGTAAGTAGATGATAATTCAGAAATATTTAGTCTGAGTAATAGGGTGAAAGTTTCTCAATTTGTTCATAGGCATTCAAGTGAACCTGTTCCTATTGTGATAAGTTATGCTTGTATAAGAAAGATTGCTTCAGTGAAGAGTTCTCTTTATAGTCAATTCATTTTCAAAGGTTTACAATCATAAATATTCCTACTTATCTTTCAGGGAAACTAATCATAGGTTTATTACTAAGGACTTGAATATTTATCATGAAGATAAATAGGGCAATTATAATTGGGTACGGATGGTTCATCATGAATGGTAAGTTGCACGGTCAGATATATTTGCTGGTTTGGATAGTCTAAACGACTTGTGTTTTTAGTAGACATTAACGGATCTACAAAATATTTTGACATACTAATACGGTGAGTGAGAAACACACAGTTGATGAGTAAAACACAGTGTTAGTTGAAAGATAACCTATCAGTTTGATTTGTGATTTACTATCATTAGACTATGGAATCTATTAATTGGTATATCGGATGATTTCATCACAGATGTATTGCAATCAAGATTTCTATCTGTAGACACAAAATAATAAATTAGACATCTTACCAACATTATAATCTGGGTATTGTCCCACTAGTAATTCAGTTGAAAGAGAATATAAATTAGTGTTAACATTAACATATCGACATCAGGATGTAGTAGTGTGGTTAAGATGCCATTAATATGCATCAATAAAAGAAAAGGCATATTGCTTTGTTCATTTTATCATATCAAACAGAATTTGAAGCTGGATTTCTTCTGATTCAGAATAAAAATCATAAAATGCTTGGATTCTCCTACTCAACCATACTGTGACATGTGCCACTGATATCGACACACATAAGTAGTATGTATGACCAATCGAAAGTGAAATGGCTGAAGGCAGAAATTTAATAAGACCGATTAGAAGAGGACGAGAACTGTTATATCCGACTGAAGATTAAATCACGAGTAACTTCTGAGACCTATCAATGGACTAATATTATCTCTATATTCTTATGGTATAATTATTCAATAGTTGGATTATGTGTATTTATATTCCTCTTATTATATGCTTCAATTTGACTTATAATTCATTAATATACAATCTACTGTCCCTAAATTATGCTCAGTTTATTAACTACTGCCGCCCTCCCTTCACAACCACTGTTCGGCTTCATCGTGTACAAATGTTACTTTCTATTTTATGGTACGTTGTGGTCTGTTTGATTGATGTATATTAACCGAATATGTTTGAAATAAATGACTCATATTTCAGAAGCTGGTATAGGTGTTCTGGATTGAAGTGGACGAACTAGGAGGACATAAGACCAATAAGTACGCTAGGCTGCTCATACCGGTCGAACGCCATTGGTTTGGCACAGTGCTAAGATTGTATAAATCGTACTTTGATTGATGGATAAATCACGTGATGAAAAACCGGACATGAAACCATAACAAGAACACAGAGTAATTGGTGTGGAAACGAAGAAGAAACAATCAAGTCTGAGTCAATGTATTGACATTTTACAAATGAAGTATTTACTGTATGGTTTTCTCAGATTTTACAAAGAGATTCTGTGTCATTTTGTATTGAAACACATTGGATTATCCGCCATTTTGTGTTCTGGTTCACTACAATATTGTTATCAAAACTGATTATTCTTAAAATGAAAGTAAATCGAACAAAGTTTTACACAAGCTAGACAGCTTGTAGCGGTAAATAAATCTCCGAAATAAGTAGCTCTGTAAGTTTTCGATATTGGATGCTGACCACATGTTTTAATGGACTCACCTAGCTGAAGGCGCTCGGTCATGCATCCGCACCAGATCACGAGTGCGAACTTCGTGCTCAACATCTAATGCAATCGCTAGCCAGATTAGATCAGTCGATTCACAATATATTGATAGTCTATCAAATATATCTTCGAACATCCTCGTTTCTGTCTTTTGATTTCAATTGGTGGGTACGCTTCATATTAGAAGGTGTTACTGGTTAAAGCGATGTCAAACTCTGAATACCTGTGGCAATATGAACCATTTACCTCTCCTGATTATGAAAACAAAATACACTGTGAATGGAAAATCTAATAAATAATAATTATGTCCATATACTGGATATTTTTAAACGGAATCATCTATCAAATATCATGAAAGTTATCATTAATGTTATTTCGAATCATTTGCTGATTATAGGCAGAGATGGATATTGGCAACAATATAATCAACGATGCATGTTTTGATGTATATGAGACTCGTCAGCTAGATGGATGTGCATCTCAAGATTGATGTTTACTTCGACTCTATTGTATTATTCACTTAATTACTAAGTCCAGATAACCAAAGGCTTGTACAATTCGGTTAAAGTTTAATTAATTTGTATTAGTTGCTTGCATGTATATCCAAACGACCAGTCTCAAATAGGATGAAACACGCATCCAACATCCCATCACTAGCCACTATCCATCTCTGTTTATAATCTTTAGGGATTAACGACAATATCAAGGTAATCCACACCGGTTTCACATATCCAAGAAGATTTATTAATTTCAGTCTTACAAACCAATGGGAAGAATCAAACAATCAATACACAAGAATTTTCCATTCATCTTGTTCATTTCATCACTTGATAATGATAACACTTTGGGTAAGGGACATTCAATTGTGCTAAACTAACTGTTTTCATCTATTTATATCGATATTATGTACCAAGTTTACTCATAGTTTCACTGACATTACATAGAATATTTATGAAGTCATGGAACTGGACAAAAGTCAATTGTTCGACTAAAATAATAATAACGATGACAACAACATCGGATATAATTCCCAGATATTTGTCACAATATACAGTCATTTACTAACATTTAACGACTGATAATTCGTTGGATATTCTTCTCCCCTCTCCTTTGAACTACATTATAATAATGTTCGACTAACTGCAATACACACTACTAATCATAACACTAAGTGTAATATAATAAAACCAAGAGAAAATTTGTCCTCTATCTCACCCACTGCCCCCTCAAAAAAAAAAGAAAATCGAATCCGAAAACAACATTAAAGATTCCCATTGTGAAAATTAGAACAACACATGTAAGCGAACAAGACATGTACTGAATCAAATTGATACTATAGAAATGAATATCTGCGATTTAGAAAGGAATCTTCTTCAGAGATAATATTCCGTGAAAAAACCGGCCTTCAGAGCTCCAGTCAATGTTTATGGATTATGTGGAAAAAATGTGCAAGAACAGATCTGAGAAAACGTTGACAAAACTAATGAAAACTTTGAGAAACCAAAAGCCAGAAAACGAGTTTCCTTTCGACCCGAAACGGTACGTACATAATTTTTTCCAATATTGAACTAGATGTAATACAGCTAGAAGTTTTATCTCTGGGGCCTAGCTTCTGTGATAATGGGCATAGAATCAACCAATTAGATACTGATGTACAATTTGAGAATTTATTTTCACAAACAACTGAATTGATTCCTACCTCATTGGAGAATCTTGCTCGATTTGAGACCACATTGGTTGATAGCTGTCAACAATACAAGAATAGTAAGGATACCACAAATCACCTACCAACCAAACAGCACCGAGACTCTTTAACGAAACTAAGAAAAGATGAAACCCTGATCATCAGCAAATCAGATAAAGGAGGAGGTATAGTTCTCATGAACAAAATGGATTACATGAACAAATGGAAACAATGCTTAGTCATCCTAGCAAATTTCAGAAAGTTACTAGTAATTGTGACATCAATAATGAAGTAGAAAGACAATTGGCCAATTTCCTTAAAGATCTAAATAAAAAGGTAATAATTACGACTGAGATTCATGATTCAATTAAGCCGACTGGATCAGTTACACCACGACTGTATGGTTTGCCTACAGTTCATACAGCGGGTCGTCCTCTACGCCCAGTTCTAGATATGTACAATTCTCCTTACCACAAAATTGCAAAGTGGATAGTGCAAAGCTTAGAGCCATTGCACAA